TGCATCCCAGTGCCAGGCAGTGACTGGAACATCAGGGGTTATCAGTGCCGGCAGCACACCCTGTCTGCAGAAACGTGCTGCCACCTTCAGAAAGGGCAGCCTCTGGGAAGAGACTGAACTCGAAATAAAAATCACTGAACAGGACTGGGGTTTTAGCTAAAACCAGGACAGACTCCGAGAGAGGAGACAAGGAAAAATGAATCAAGCAGAAGAAGGGAGCCTGCAGTCCATCCCTGCTGACACTTCCTTCCCCACACATTAAGGCCTTTTAAGAAGGGGTGTGGTGTGATTTTTTTTCCCTCTAGACTAAGGAGAATGCTCTGGATTTCCTTAGGCTTAACTCTTAATCGTCTGCAGAGGGAAGAGGTCTCAACCTGCTTTTCCCAGAGACTGTGCTTGTGTAAACCAGTGCCATCCAACTCTGATAACTACAGGTCGTTAGAGTACTTGGGTGCTTGATGGTCAGGCAAGAAAGTCCTGAGTAAAGCCAAATGCAATCTGAACGAACTTCTGCCAGCCACCTCAGGTCTGTTTTGCCTAAAATGAACTCGCTATGTCCGTGGGTGGCCGTGTGCCTCCGCAAGTGACATCAATGCTGCTGCCCACGGGCCCATCGTTTGGATAAACCATGTGTCTGCCGCTGGGGAAGGCATCCCGAGAGGGAACGTCGGGGAGCAGATTGCCCCGGGGAAGGAGTACGGTAGAAATAGCAGCCATGTGGCTGTTACGCAACAAAAGCAGTTCGTTGCCACACGCCCATTATTGAGTGGAACCTAAATTTTATTGGAGTCAACATAATTGCAAAATATTTACGTGGGTTCTAGCAACAGGCTCTTAAGTGCTTTTGAGAGTGATTGTGCGTGGTGTTCCGAAGAGAAAAAGCGTTTGGGTAAGCAGCATTGCTAAGATAAACTTTAGCCTTACTGAGCGTTGCAACAAACCTAGTGCTGCCAGAGGAGGCAAGAGATATGAGTTAATTTTTCAGCGTAGTCATTCCAGCTGTTGCAGGTGACAGCCAACAGTGTGATTCGGGTGTAAATCCTAACATGCAGGTGTGTAGATCTTAAGAGGGCGAGAAAAAGAGCAGTTTTGTGAAGCCTCAAATTCTATTTCAGTAATTCCCAAACGAACATTTACACATAAAACCAGCATGAGATTGTGTGTATGTTGGCTAATTGGGGTACGTTGACGAATACAAGTGTGGAAGTGTAGAGCAGTTAATATTGCCTGTCTCCCTGCCGCTCTGTGTACATTGAATTAATGTTGTATTCTTACAGTATATGTTTACTAGATCAATACTAAAAGAAATTTCCTGTTCACCTGAGAGAGGTCCTGTTTGTCACTAGTGCTGTTAGGCCATGAATATCGTGGTCTGCTGCCGTTTGAAGCTTTTTACTGGATGAGTTATTCCAGCAGCTGTTAATGCAGTTCCACATCTGGTCAGGGCAAGCAGTAGCTCGGCAACTAAAGTGGAGAATTCCTGTTGTTATGTGACCTATATCTTATGAAATAGCCAGGGTTTAACTTAAGCATTTCAAGGAAAAAGGTGGTTCACCTGCCATTCTATTTAATCAGCAAAGCCTGCAAACATTTTCCACGTTAATTGAATTGCACTTTATGCAGAATTGCAGTTTACACAAATGCACTCTGTGTGTTCTGGTGAACTGTTTAAAAATAGTCTTTTGTTCTTGCACAATAATTCTGAGCGTGATTACTTGCCTTGCTAAAGATTCAACCACAACTCCCAACTTTGTAGCTGCAGTTGAACCCGGCGGTTTTACCTATCAGGAATGTGAAAACAGATGTGTTCAGTAGTTTGCACTCTTGCAGGCCTGATGCAGTAGCTCCCTCTGGGATCTTTACCAATCCGTTGGGAATGGTCTCTGCCTGTTTCATTTAGATAACTGACGTATTTTCCTGTCTGTGCACATTGTCAGCAACTGCAGCATTCTGTGTGCAGTTTGATGGACCGTGTGGCTTTTGCTCGACGTAGCAGCCTCACCAGATAAAGAACCAAGTGTTAACAGATCCAGCCTTCCCCTTCTCAGAGGGGTTTTCTCAGAGAAAAGCCAAATGGGCCACAAGTGACAAACACCATGCTGGTTTAGTAAAATACTGCCGTGGAAGAGATTCCCTCTTCTTTCCTCTTATGAGGTCAGAAAACACGCTCTCTTGAATATTTCTTTTTCCTGCGTTCTGTGTGTTTTATTTAATGGGTTGATTGATATAAGCAGAAATATTTGTTAATTACTCATTGTTTTTTGTTTATGCAATGAAAGCAGTTTCCTGTTTTCATAGAATCATAGATTACTGGTTTGGAAGGGACCTCAAGGATCATGTAGCCCAACCCTTTAAAGAAAGAGGGTTTAAACGAGATGGCCCAGCACCCTGTCACGCTGAGCCTTAAAGCTGGCTAAGGGTGGGAAATCCACCACTTCTCCAACGTCTAATTGCTCTCATGGTGAAAAATTTTCCTCTGGAGTCCCGTTGGAATTTCCCCAGGAGCAACGTTTCCCCATCACCCCTTGTCTTGTCCCTGTGATTCCTCGTAAAAAGGGAGTCTCTGTCTTCTCGGTAGCCACCCTTGTGTACTGTGCATGGGAGTGAGGTCTCCCTTACTAGCATTTCCCTTATATTGGCAGATCTGCCTTTATAGGCACAAAGCAAAGTGATGAGCTTTCGGTGGCAATGATTTATTTTATTTTTGTGTAGCAAGAAATATCATTTAGGAAACTTTCCGCAAGGGATTGCAGAGTGCATTTCGTCGGTAACGTTCGGCATTAATACACAATGGAGGTTGCCTTTAAAAAAATGCGAAAAGCTCAGCGCAGAGGAAATATTCTAAAAATACGTAGGTGCCTACACCGCTGTGCTTGCTGGCAGGACACCCCGAACCTCAGTAAGAGATGGCTGCGTTTATCGCACGCGAGAGGAGTCCTCCCAAACCTGTTGGGACACGGCGAGGGGTAGCAGGTTGCAAACTCACACAGCTTCTGAGTGTGAAAAGAATTACTAAAACAGTACAATCGGTGTTCATCGCCCTGTGCTAAAAAGTGCAGGATTTGGGGAGGTAAATCTTCTTGCTGTAAGAGCGGAGAGTTGAGTGGAGAAAAAGCTGAGTTAAATGATCTTAAAAAAAATGTAGAAACTGCTTTTCGTGGGAGTAGATGGCAGCAGAACGCGACTTGCTTTTCCGTACATCACCCAGCTTGGTTTTGGAAGGAAATTCAACCCAACTTGCCTGTCTCAGGACCTGGACTTTGAGCCCCGGGTTCCGTTTGTAGCGTGTTCACCACAAAACCCAGTGTTGTCAGCGCATGTGCTTTTTTTTGGTGGAATAGTTCGATGTCTCTGCTGAAGCCGATGGTAGCGAGCATCTCATTGCGCCTTGTGGTTTTTGGAGGCACGCCGCCCCAACAGGCAGCTCCGAGAGTCGTATGGGCTGAAGTTTATTTGGGAGACCAGCTTTTTGGAGAATTTCAGAGCCCACGCTATTAAAATAAGTGCGATTATTGCTCCAACTATTAAAATGAGATCTCGCCAGAAGAACTCGAGACACTTGATTGGGTGATGCCTCTTACAAACCCCCATCTCGTTCCCGCTCAGCTGCCCCAGGGGCTTCATCCTCAGCAGCACCGGGGTCGCGCACCTGGTGTTGGCAAGAGAAGGCACGGAGACGACTTCCAGCCAGAGTTTTAGGTACAGAATCCGGCAGTCGCAGTTCCAAGGATTGTCAAACATCTTCACTTCCTCCAGGCTGTGCAGGCTGTCCAGGGCGCCGGGAGGAACCGAGGTCAGGCTGTTGTTCTGCAGATAAAGCCTCCTGGTGTCAGCGGGCAAGGCCGGCACTTCCGTCAGCGCCTTTGAGCTGCAGTCGACGTGCAAACCCGTCGTTCCTCCCACTGACCTGCAGCTGCAGGCGGGAGGACACGCTTCGGTTTGGGTCACGTGGAGCAGCAGCAATACGGCAAATCCCGCAATGGCGATGAGTTCTGGCTTGCTCATGCTTCAGCTACCCAGGGAATGAGAAGTGTGGCTCATTAGAATGTTTCTAAAGGCAGAACTACAGCACTTCTGGGGCCGCTGGCATAAGGAGGACATGGACCTGCTTGAAGCGGGTCCGGAGGAGACCACCAAGATGCTCCGGGGGCTGGAGCACCAACCCCGTGAGGACAGGCTCAGAGGGTTGGGGCTGCTCAGCCTGGAGAACAGGAGGCTCCGGGGAGACCTTAGAGCGGCCTGACAGTGCCTGAAGGGGCTGCAGGGGGGCTGGGGAGGGGCTGTTCACAAGGGTGTGTACCAACAGGGTGAGGGGCAATGGTTTTCGAGTGGGAGGGTGGATTTGAATAAGAAATTAAGGAAAAAAATCTTCACTCTGAGGGTGCTGGACATGTTCCTGTGTGACCTGCTGTAGGTGATCCTGCTCTGGCAGGGGGCTGGACTAGATGATTTTTGAGGTCCCTCCCAACCCCTGACAGTCTGTGATTCTGCGGTTCTGTCAGGCACTGGTAGGGTGCCCAAGGAGCTGTGGACATCCCCTCCCTGGAAGCGTTCAGGGCCAGGTTGGACAGAGCTTGGAGCGCCCTGGGCTGGTGGAACTGGATGGTCTTTAAGGTCCTTTCCAACCCAAACCATTCCATGGTTCTATTCTGTGATCACGGCTATTTCTTCCTCAGGATTACTCATGAGGCTCAGGGTTTTTGGAAGACAATTTTTAGCTTTTCTGTGCTTCCCACAGAGCCATTGCGTAAGTGCAACTGGGAGAGAGCACAGTGCTTCCATTTCACTTGTTCGTTGCTTTTCCTTCCTAAGTGTGGGAAATACGTTATTGTTCAAACTTCTGGAACAGAAGGTCACCAAGAGAATGGTAAAAAACCAGGTTGGTTTAGGCAAATACCTTGATTTAATTTCCAAATTTTCTTTGGTCTAGTGTTAAAATTACGTGTTGAAGTCAATTTTCAAAATTGATCGTAAGAGATTGAATACTGGTAAACTTCTAAAAATCCCCTTTCTGCGAGTGTGAAGATTCTAACCAGGAAATACGTATTTTTCTGTGGCAAAACACTTTTCTTGTTGCCTTGTAGTTTCATGCATCTCCGAGAACGTATGTTTTTAAGATTTGGATGTATAGAGAATTGGAAATTTTGCATATTTGGTACTGCTTATCTTTTAGGGATGAAATAACCATGCTTTGGGCTAGCAGGTAATAATCCCTTTTGCTATGCCAGCCCCCATCCCACTAGACTTCCACCTTAGTCCCTCCTGTTTGGCTCTTTTAACCTCTAAAGCTGTTCCCTTTCTGTGTTTCCTACTATCTCTCTGCTTTTATTCTAATTTCAGTTATTATATCTAGTTCAGTTATTATATCTAATTTCAGTTTATTCTAATTTCAGTTCTAACTTTGGTTTTATCCTAATTTCAGTCATATTCTAAATTCTAATCCTGTCCTGGGACTGGATTAGAATTTGAAATACAGACTCCCTGGCATACGTTGGGGAATTTCCCATCTTGAAACCATCTTTCTGTATGATTTTATTACATTCCATAATTTTTTTCTTTCCTCCCCCCCAATTGATTGGAAGTAAGTATTGAAGCAAAAATACCAGCCTGTACATTGGCTTGGGCACTACTCACAGAATAGCAGATGCCTTAAAATGTGTTGGGTTTTTATACACTGTACACTTAAAGTCTATTTTTAACTGAAGAAAGTGAAAACCTTTGTATAACTTTGTTTGCAGGCAAGCATTAGAAGCACATGATTTTAAAATTGGGTGAGACAAAGCCTGAGAAATAACAAGCAGGTAGAACAGACGTATTAACGGCAACAAATATAAAGTAAAAGGGGTTTTTACATAGTAAGGTGATAGGGAGCTTAAAAAAAATACAGTTACTGAATTTGGGAAGAAATTTGGGAAGACATTTCTTCAAAATAATGTTTTAAAGTGCAGAGATATTTTAAAACTCAAAAAAATAAGTTTTCCTCTTAAAAACTTAAGTAAGCTGAGACTTTTTTTCTCTAGGACTTTTCATGTAATAGAGAAAAAAAAATGGACTGATTTTGTTTTCAGATAATTTGCTTCCTTTTACTTACAAGGATAACTTAATTAGCTTCTCGAAATCAAGTGAGACAGCTTTAGACTCCTGATCTACATGATACATTCACGTATTTTAAATAGAATTAGTGCTCTGTAAAATTCTGAACTTCATCCCAGAGAAGCTGAAATAGCTGAAGGGTCTGCTGTGTGGTTTTTTTAGCCCGTGATTCCTCTGAGTTCTTTGATCCGAATCTAGACACTCAGCTGTTGTTTGTCAAGAAATCTACTCATGGTTTGTTTTTTTTTAAAGCAGACAGCTTAAAAGGAGAGGCTATGTCAACTGAGTGAAAGGAAAAAAAAGTTAAGCGCTGTCTCTTCTGATTTAATACACAGGGCGCAAGAAATTCCAAATCAAATAGAAATAAGAGCTGTGGGAAAAGTGCAGAGAGGAGCAGTTGGTGCGGTGCCGGACCGACACTTACCCTTATTGATTCCCTTTCGATTCCTTGCCTGCTGCTTGGAGAAGTGTCGCAGCACGTCGAGCAACTGGCACTGCTTTTTAGAGAGTCGGCGAAGGAAATGTGTGCAAGAAGATGAGGTTTTGGTCGGCATGACAGGAAACCGTTCCCACTGGAAGAGGCTATTTATGGGTGAGATGTGTCAGGCATCAGAGCTCGGGGCATTTTTGTGTTCGCTGCAGACAAGAGGAAAGGCTTTTGAATTTCTTCTTCTCACTAAATCTATTTTTCCCATTAAACCTGACAAGATCTGGAAAACCTCAGATGACTCACCTGAAATCTAGTGGGTTTATTTTTTTTATTTTTTAACCCTTGGTTGTAATATTCTGCAGGTGTAAAAGTTAGGGATAAAAAAAACTTGAGCTTCAGCTGCTGACACCTGCAAGCCCAAGTGAGACCGAAGGGAGCTGAAGGCAGCCTATGGAACAGAGCTCTGGTTTAGTCACAGCCAGGTGGGTCTGGTATCTGCCTTTCCGCTGATTAAGGAAAATTTCTGAAACCACACCATGGCACTGGAGTAACTTGCGCTGGTCCGGCGAGGTCAGCTTCTGTCGGTCAGATGAGATCGTGAAGAGACAGAGAAATGTTAATGCCATTGCACTGAAACTGTGGCGAGGAGTCACCCCGAAATACAGTATTTAATTCTGGCCACCAGAGTGAGGCGAGCGAGAGGAAGGAAGGTTTCTGTGATGGTCGGGGCTCTGGAGAGGCCCAGGGGCTGCGAGGGCAGGAGGACTCTGGTGAGCGGCTGCCCCAGCGCAGCCTCGCATGGAGAGAAGGGCACGTGTGTGTAGAGCAAGGGATCAACTCCCCATTCTGGTTCCTGTGGTGTTCTGGGGCATGCGATTGCTTTGAAAGGTCCTAGTTTGGTTTAAAGCCTTGCTTCCCAGTCACGAGAGCCATGCCCAGCTCAAAAGAGGGCTGAGGTCCTGCAGATCTGGTGAGCGGCTGCCCCAGCGCAGCCTCGCATGGAGAGAAGGGCACGTGTGTGTAGAGCAAGGGATCAACTCCCCATTCTGGTTCCTGTGGTGTTCTGGGGCATGCGATTGCTTTGAAAGGTCCTAGTTTGGTTTAAAGCCTTGCTTCCCAGTCACGAGAGCCATGCCCAGCTCAAAAGAGGGCTGAGGTCCTGCAGATGTCACGCTCAAGCTGCTGAATAAAATCAGCGGCCAGATAATAGCAACGTGACATCGTAGAGCATCACGTGCTCTGTGCATATTGGGCGAGAGAGCCGTTAATTCAGGGCGATAGAAGTTTCTAATATACACGTATCTGTTCATCTGTAAAGATGAACATTCATCTGTAAAGACGAACAGATATATATATATAAGAACTGTGTTCTAGTATGTGTATTAGATATATGTATATTAGAACCATGTTTGTGTAAAAAGAAAACCAAAACTCTTCCTTTTGTATGTGAAGTTTAGGAATAGAATTGAAACAAGTTTTCCTTCACTTTAGCTACCAAACATGAACACTCTAAAATTATAATAGCGGTTGCCGTTGGTGGAAAACAAGCGTGTCGTGGGCCCGGTGTTTAATTCAAGCCAGTCAGTGGCTGGTGTGTTGTTTTGGGGACAGGTTTGAGCTGTGTTCTGTGTTTGGAAATGAAGCCCAGGGGAGTTGCAGATGTGGCAGATGTGCAGCGGAGCCCAGCTTCTGAGCTGCTGTTTCTTTATAACACGGGATGAGGGAAATTTCGGACATCTCAAATTATTCTGATAGCAAACCTGTTCAATTCTTCTTTGTATTTAAAGTGCTTTTCTGCATTAAGTCTAATGTGAACTTTGTTGGGATCTTCCTTAAGAAAATTACATCCTCTGCTCTTCAGTATTTCAAAAGGTAATTTAGCCAGTGCTGGAGGGAGAAAACACAAATATTTCATTTGAATTTTGATATTTTCTTTAGGATAAGGATGGTATTTCTTCCCCTGTTGGAATGAATAGCACATCTGGCTGTCAGATGTTCAACAGCTGCACCTGTGAGTGGACTCACAGGGAAGATCCTTCCACCTTAGACATTTTTTTTTTTTTTGAAAGTCCATCACTGGACAATAGACTTCATAAATGTCTGTCTTCCCTCATGCCCGTTTCCCGTCGCACACGATCTGTGCCGTGCAT